TTTAAAATTACCAAATTTATAAATTTCCTAATTTATCTATTGATTTGTGGTTAATATTGGTTCTCACAGTTACCACAAACAACTCAGTTCTCCCTTAAATAGGCCCATATATATATATATATATATATATATATATATATATATATGGTGTTAGGTATAAGTAAGACTGTGATTTACCCAAGAAAACTTAATTGTATTATGGGGAAAAATTGCACCAAAATGGAACCACTTTTCACCTGATTCTTATTTTGGGAAACCAACTTTTAAAATCGTCATTTTGAGGAACCAACTTTTACTTGATTCCTATTTTGGGGAACCAACTTTCAAAATCGTCATTTTGGGGAACCAACTTGCAAACGATTCTTATTTTGGGGAACCAACTTTCAAAATCGTCATTTTGGGGAACCAACTTGCACCTGATTTTTATTTTGGGGAACCAACTTGCAAAATAATTATAGGAAAATGGAAAAATTACATCAAAATGGAACCAACTTTCACCTGATTCCTATTTTGTGGAACCAACTTTTAAAATGGTCATTTAGGGGTATCTATCAAGCTATTTGTTTATTTAAATGTCTGGTTGATCTGTTGAATAGGTAACAGGTAATTTAAGGGTCTCTATCAAACTTTTGGTTAGATTTGCCAAATTTGATTTAAACTTTAATATTGACACAGATTGGTTAGATATAAAAATCTTGAATGTGATATTTAATATTTCTTTTTTATTGCATCAAWTAATTTTTTTCTATTAAATTGATTTTTTTATTGCATTAGTGAAAAACCAATTTTTATCGTGTTAATTTGGATTTTTTTCGAAAAAATCTTCGATTTGATATCTGAATTTTAAAAAACGAGATTTGAAATGAAAAATAGATTTTATTGCATTAATTTTTGAAAAAAACGAATTTTAGTTATTTTTCTATAATTATTTTGCAAGTTGGTTCCCCAAAATAGAAATCAGGTGCAAGTTGGTTTTCCAAAATAACGATTTTGAAAGTTGGTTCCCAAAAATAGGAATCAGGTGAAAGTTGGTTCATCAAAATGACGATTTTGAAAGTTGGTTCTCCAAAATAGGAATCAGGTTAAAGTTGGTTCCATTTTGATACAATTTTCCCTATATATAAAGAGTATATTTCAAATGTCATCATGTTCATTTTTACAATTAATGCAACCCAATCAATTGAGATATTTATAGAAATGATCATAGTTTATTTATTATGATTTGAATATTTATGGAATATGACTAGAGTTCGTTAATTATAATAAATACTTTATATTAGAAAACAATCAAAACTTTTATAAAATCACATATTCAACAAATGTATTGATTGTATAAATATAAAGGGTTGCATAATAACTCACATTTCCCTATATATGTTATTTTGTGAGGACCTTCTTTTGAGAACCAATAAAATTGTGATAACCTTGAAAACTTGCACCATAACAAAATCGAGTTTATAGGACACTCTCAATTTTTAAGCGTCTTAATAGATCTCTTAATAAAACTTATAAATATAGGACCAAAATAATAAAGTGTCATATCTAAAGACGTTGTAATAGATTTATATGACGTTTTTTTAACGTCGTAATAAGTTTTTTAGGACACTTTTAATATAAAGCATCCCATTAGCAATTTTATAGGACACTATTTGAAAAATTGTCCTATAAAAATAAGTGTCCTATAAAAAATTGAGTTTATAGGACATTTTCTCAAAAGTGTCCTATAAAGTTGCTAATGCGACACTTTGTATTAAAAATGTCCCAAAAACTTGTTGAGACGTCCAAATGCGTCATATAAACTTATTACAACACATTTAGATAGGACGCTTTATATTTTGATCATATAAATCAAGTCATATAAAACGGTCTATTGAGACGCTTAGAGATTGGGGGTGTCCTATAAACCCAATTTTGTTGCAGTGTTGTGTATCATGTGTTATTTCATATGATACTTTTTCCATCTAAAACTAGGATTTAATATATTGATTAACATATATATGTTTGTTTGTGAACACTTTTTACGTGTTTGTTTCACATATACTCGTTTCACACTGTGAACAATATTTACTTGTTTGTGAAACAAGAAATACATGTAAAAATGTTTTATGTTGGGAACAAATACATATGAAACAAATATATCTTAATTAATATATTAAATAATATTATTTAGACGAAAAAAGACAATGTGAAACAATAACTTAAGGTAGAAATTCTTATGGTTCTCACAAATTTTGGAGTTCTCAAATGATTAAGCCCCGTTAGTCTGTTAAGTCATCTCCTACAGCTTTTTAATACTTTTTTAACAATAGAGAAAGAAAAGTCAAAATCTTCGGTAATCTTTTAATAATTATATTTAACTCTAACATTTTATCCATTTTTCTAGATTTAATGGATTTAATACTCTCCCAAAATTGTGATATCTTTCAAATTATGGTATTTAGCTAACAATATTTTTTTATTAACCTGGATATCCAACCCGCTATGCGAACCGACTAATCTCAGTACGACCATCTGCTTTGCAGATAGCCCGCAGTCACCGCATTTGAACCTTCATGGCCACAAGGGGATTTTTATTCCTTCTTGGATTTGAACCTGAGACCTCCTGATACTTTTGACATTTGGAGCCAAACTCAAACCAATCAGACACCACCCTTGTGGTTAGCTAACAAGTTTATTAAATAAGAAGAGTAAATTACATCAATCGTCCATGTGGTTTGCTCAAACTCCATCAATTGTTACTGGAGTTTCGAAAATACGTCGACTGTCCATTGTTTCAATTTACTTACACCGCTCGTCCATGCCCCTAATGACCTTCATTACAACAAAATTGAGTTTATAGGACACCCTAAATCTTTAAGCGTCCCAATAGACCGCTTTATAGAACTTAATTTATAGAACCAAAATATAAAGCGTCATATCTAAAGGTGTTGTAATGAGTTTATGAGACGCTTTTTGGCGTCTTAACAAGTTTTTTATAACATTGTTAATACAAAGTGTCGCATTAGCAACTTTATAGGATACTTTTATAAACTCAATTTTTTATAGGACATTTGTTTTTATAAGACAATTTTTCAAATAGTGTTCTATAAACTTGTTAATGAAATGCTTTATATTGAAAGTGTCCTAAAAAACTTATTACGACGTGAAGAAGCGTCATATAAACTTATTACAATGTCTTTAGATAGGACACTTTATTTTTTTGGTCTTATAAAGAGGCCTATTAAGACGCTTAGAAATTGGGAGTGTCCTATAAACCGATTTTGTTGCGGTGGACGGATTAGCCTGTCGAAAAAACAAAAACAGGCGATGGGAAGCAAATTTCGTGCGGATTTATAAGCACATCGAGAACATGTGAACATCACATAATAAGAAGATATGGAAAGTATATCTCCTGAATTGTAAAAGAGAGCACATATATAGCTGAATCATTAAGCCATCWGMAAGAGAGAGATTGTTCTAKYTGAGAAGCAAACCAGTTCCACTCAKTTTCTGATCCATCAAWYTGTCTACTTTTTCCTTCATCTCTTTGGTGAAGTACTTCTCCCAATCTCCATCCTTAGCCTTCCTGAAGAAAACCCTGTTTTCAATGGCATCATACCCTTCAACATGAAGCTTTCCACTTTTATTCACTTCCAAATTACTCAGATTCTCAAAACTACACAACTTTATAATGTTTTCAACGACGCCTTCGTTTTCTTCTTCCGCGGAAAACGGATACCCGATGAAGTCCGCAAGCCGCTTGACGTCGTTTCTACTGTCCCTTTTCATGTCTTCGTATTTCAAGAATAGAATTCTCCCTTGCCTTTCTAGACTTGCTTTCCAGTATCCCAAAATATGATCCCAGTATGGTCCATACAACGAAATCCCGTCGCAGAATTCGTCAAACGCCTCCTCAAACGGAGCATCTTCCACGGATAGTTTCGCTATTTGTCGCTGGTAATGGTAGTGAGAAACTATGACATCTTTTACGTTCCGATATATGTAAACGATCTTGCAATTTGAAGCTACGACTGATTCGGGCAACGAAGTGTAAGGAAGGTGCGTCGCCACGAGTGAGATTCCCGACTTCTTGTGGCAATTGTGTTCCATTTGTTCCGAGTATAGCTCCAGGAAAGGGATGCATTCATGAGACAAGGTTGTGAGCAACGGGCTGGTCGACTCATCAAACTTGTCTCGGGTTGCAATCGCAAACGCCAACGCCTTTAGCCACGTTGTGCCGGTTTTGGGGCAACTCGACAGTATAGTACATCATTCGGCTGAGCCTTGAAGCTTTTTTGAGCCACAATTGCACCTTCAAGAAGATCTTTACTGCTCCAAAACCCTTGATACTTGTAAAAGCTACACCTGCCTTTCAACCACCTGCAATTGTGTTGAACAAGCGTACTTTCAGACGATATATCTTCCATGCCGGAGATCGATGATATGATCTTGAGGTTTCGTGTAGTCGTGGTGTGGATATGGTTTAGTTGATGAGCTCTCATTATATAGACAATCTGGTGTATCTACACCAGAGTATCTAACTTGGGATCACGTTAGACCAACTTGTTTTCTTGAGACCAATGATACTATTATTTTACAGTTGAAACTTTACAGCAAAAGACTACGAAGGTTCGGGGTTTTTTTACCTTTCACACTATTTTGTTGTAAAGTTTCAAATGTAAAACTTTGGTATTCTGAATTAAAATAAGGAAGTTGGTGAATGAAAACAAACCTTAGTTTTAACTTCAAGGACAATTAATTAGCATATCGTTACAATTATCAAACACAAATATTTTTCAATTTGTTGTGAAGATCATATTCACACATGCATTGCATGATAATATAATATAACTGATATCAATTCAAAATGGTCATGTCATCATCAGTTGTATTAAGACCCGACGTGGATAGAACAACTGTTCAACGTTTGGTAAAATAAAACCGGATATAACATAATAAATAAAATGACCAATTTACCTCTGATGAGTTGTTTATTGTAATTAATTTATGTAATTTATTAAATTATAATAGAATAACTATTTTTTATAAAAAAAATATATCATTTGAAGTTTTCGTCAAAACAATTAAAATGACACCAAATAAAAAGTTTATGCAGTTTTCTATTTTTATTTTTATCTTTTTTCTACATTATTTTTTATTATTAATATATAATAAATTACATAAATGATTAAAAATATAGAAACCGTATAAAAATGATATTTTGATGACAGTAAAATGAAAATTTAAGAAACATAAAATACAATAAATAAAAATTAAAGAATGAATAAAATGTAAAAAAGAGACATATTTGATGTTTTAGAAGAGAATTAAGTTTTATTTTGAGGTTATATTGGTAAAATATAAGTCTGTTCCACCTTGTTCCGCTTTGTTCCTGTCTGTTCCACATAAAATTCATGCCGAACATGGGACATGGTGATCCATGTCCTGTTCTGTCCAGTGTACCAAACGCACCTTTAAAGTCATTAAGACCTGATTTGATCCATTAATACTCATTACGATCACTTAAACCCATTATGATTCCGTTTTACCCAATTTAATCCATTAAAGTCGGATCATTCCCATTACGCCTCAATTAGAATCAATAAGACTAGTTATGATCACTTGAACCCATTTCCATTAAATTCATTACGACTCACTTAGATTCAAGATGATCAAGGGTCCATAAGGTCTATTATGACTCACCTAAATCTAATAACATTATGGCCACTTTCCATAGACCCAAGCTGATCCTTTGTGACCCTATTAGACTCAACGTTAGGTATCATTTAGACCCAATATGATCCATTCAAAGCCAATGATGCCTATTTTGACCCACCTACGAGCTTGTAATGGATTAAAACTTGGATTATGATGAGAATGTTGTTGTTGATTCGTCGGAAATAAGGAACATCATCGACGGATTTCCAAATCCCCTATGTGGCTATGTATGTCTCGGCCTTTTGACGATCGTTTGTATTTTTATACTTGAATTTCTTGTTATCGGGATATTCTGGACGTTGATAATATGAAACTTTTTGGATAGTTTTTTTTATAGTAGTTGTATTTGCATGTTGAGGATGTCAACTGACAGTGACGGATCCTGGAATTTTATACACTGGTACCATGGTGAAAGTTCTAAAAAATTAAGTTTATAGGACAATTTTTCAAAAGTGTCATATAAAGTTGCTAATGTGACACTTTGTATTAAATATGTCCTTAAAAACTTGTTAAGACGTCCAAACGCGTCATGTAAACTTATTACAACAAAATCAGGTTTATAGGACGCTTCCAATTTATATGAACAAAAAAAAACAAAGTGTCATATCTAAAGACATCGTAATGAGTTTATATGACATTTTTTGACATTGTAATAAGTTTTTAGGACACTTTTACTATAAAGTTAAAGTGTCTCATTAGCAACTTGATAGGACACTATTTGAAAAACTGTCATATGAAAACGAGTGTCCTATAAAAAATTGAGTTTATAGGACACTTTCTCAAAAGTGTCCTATAAAGTTGCTAATGCGACGCTTTATATCAAAAAGATCCTAAAAAACTTGTTAAGACGCCCAAAAATGTCATATAAACTTATTACAACGTTTTTAGATAGGACGTTTTATATTTTGATCCTATAAATTAAGTCATATAAAGCGGTCTATTTGGACGCTTAGAGATTTGGAGAATTCTATAAACTCAATTTTGTTGTAGTGACTTTAAAATTTCCTATTAGTCTTTAAAATAATATGACACTTAAAAATTGTCCTATTAGACTCTAAAATGATATAACAATGAAAAGTGTCGTATTAGACTTACATGATAGGACACTAAGAGAGCTTTATAAGACATCAAAAGTAAGAGTCATATTAAATTAAATCAAATAGGACCTATAAAATAATGTGTCGTATTAGCCCTTTTAAATGGCGGGTTTCGAAAAATGTCCCAAAAAAGTGTCCTATAAATCCTTTTTTGTTGTAACCCGAGACATGGTTGATGAATCCACGAGCCGTTTGCTTACAACCATGCCACATGAATGCACCCCTTTCCTAGAGAAAGACCTTGAACAAATTCAAGACAAAAGAGGGTTATTTTGTCAAAATATTCTATGTTTGTTATTTATTACAAATATGAGTTTTATAAAAAGGTTTTGATGATATTCACCCTGTAATTGTATGGAAGGAATTTCTCATTAGACCTCAAAGTCTAACATTCTTTTTGGTGTTTTAAAATGTGCATTACAGGTCAGGCAACCAGTTGATAAGGGAAAGGGAAATTTATGAAGAAATATATGATTGCCTGCATATGGATTTTGGTATAATGTGTTGTTTCTTGTACCTGCATGTTGTTTATGAGTACAAGTTTTTGTATGGAGATTTTGTGGAAAAAATTTGGTAGCTACTTTTATAATGTATTTTTGTATATATATTTGGGACCGAATGTGTATTTGTATTTATTGATATATGAAATACATGATTATGTGCAAATGCGGATCCTAGGTGTCACAATCTGATACTATAACAAAATTGGTTTCATAGGACACCCTTCAATCTCTAAGTGTTCCAATAGACCGCTTTATATGAATTAATTTATAGAACCAAAATATAAAAAGTCATATCTAAAGGCGTTGTAAGAAGTTTATATGACGCTTTTGGGCGTCTTAACAAGTTTTTGAGGTCACTTTTAATACAAAGTGTCGCATTAGCAATTTTATAGGACATTTTTGAGAAATTGTCCTATAAACTTCATTTTTTATAGGACACTTGTTTTTATAGGACAAATTTTCAAATAGAGTCATATAAAGTTGCTAATGGAAACCGTTCAATTCATGAAAACTATGCAAACCACTTTCGACCAAGAGGAAAATTCCGTTTTTTTAGTTAATTTTAATAAATAAGGGTATAATGGTCATTTAATCGTATACTAATTAATATTGAAAGGTAATAACTACTGTTAATTATGGAAATGTATTAATGGAAATGTTTCATGTGGAAGGAGGTAAATCTTTTTTCTTAATATAATTTTTTTACCATTAATTTTTTATATTATTTTATTAAATTATACTTATTAAAATATGAATTGTAAAAAAACAGTAGAATATGAAATCTGTGTTCGTTTCATTTCTTGAAACAGTTTCATTTCTTGATTTAATGAAACAGTTTCATTAACGGTTATTGAAATAATATTAAAAAAATAATGAAACAGTTTTATTTCTTGATTTAATGAAACAAAATCTTTGTTTTAGTATTCAAAATGTTTCATTATTTTTTGTTGATTATAGTATGTTTTATGTGTTTCATAATTTATTAGGATATATCTAATTCATTGTAGGTGACAAGAAATGATACTGTTTCACCCTTTATAGAATGAACTCACGTGACTCGTTGTCACCTACAATGAAAAATTGACCAATTGTCATGTGATGTTGAACGATAATTGCAAACTGTTTCATTAACGGTTATTGAATTAGTATTGAACTATTAATAATTTCTAATCAAAATAATTTTAAAACAAGGGAAATCATAATAAACGATGAAACATATAAATAATGAAACATTTTTAAAAACTGAATATTTTTTTAATTTAATGAATGTTTTTCATGTATAAAACGTTCCGAAATATTAATAAATTAAATTCACCAGTGAAATTGTATTCATGGTCACTATTGAACATGACATTCGTTAATTTCATTACTCAAAGTACATATATTTTTTTCAATGAAACGAACACAGATTTCATATTCTACTGCTTTTACAATTCATATTTTAATAAGTATAATTTAATAAAATAATAAAAAAAATTAATGGTAAAAAAACTATCTTAAGAGAAAAGATTTACATCTTTCTATAAGAAACGTTTCCATTAATACATTTCCATAATTAACAGTAGTTATTAGGATATATCTAATTCATTGTTGGGGGTTTGACAAATTTACCCCTTTTTAATTGAAAATTAATCTCTTTTTTTTGTTTTTTAATATAAACTCATTTAATGATGACCATTGATGGAGAAAATGGATGGATGAAATTGGTTTGTAAGGTTTTCACAAATGAAGGTGATTTGCAATTGATCTCTCATATATATATATATATAATTGGTCTTACGAGTCTCATGAAAAATTCTCAGTCTTACGTAAACCCAACCATATATATATATATATATATATATATATATACATACTAGAAAGGTACTTGCGCAATGCAGCGATATACATCTTGGTTTTAATATTTTATTTTATTATTTATCCCAGTCGATGTTATAGTATGATCGTATATGATTTTGAAAAAAGAATGATGTTTTTATTTTTGAATAAAATATAAGTTTGAAGATATCATAAAATTTTGACAAAAAATATATCGATATTAGTATCAAATTAATTATTTAAAATTCCTCATTTTTTGTGTAATTTTTAATTTAATTTTTTACATAATCTAATTTAGGTACAATAATGAAGTAATTTATATTTGGT